TATTTAAAGAATCATTGTTGGAGGTGATGCAAAAAAATTTTCGATCTCACGTCAGTTGTTAGGTATGTGTGGGTCTACTATAAAAGGAGTCGTTAGCGATCAGTCTCGGTCGACACCTGGGTCGACCGGCGCCGTCTGTCCTTATTCATTCTTGCCTTTTGCCACCTTCACTATTGTTGTATTTACCATTCGGATAAACGTTATATTCTATGCCTGTGTTATTCTGTTTGTCACTAGGTAAGACCGCTACTCTAGGACATAACAGTGGCGCGGTCGCAGTAGTGAATCTTTTGATTCACAATTCGGACATTATTCGGATTATTCAAATTCGGGGGAAGTATTCGGATTATTCGGAGATTCGCAGAGCACATCAGATTCTTATTCAGAGGAGACGGTGTCAGTTGAAGTGTGGCAGGCATTCAAGCCGATCGAATTCATCTATTCGACAAGGCCTAGCAAACCTTAGTCAATTTTATTCGGACCAATTCGAGCTTTGAGAAGAGTTGTTATTATTCGGTCCAGAAGTTTGATATTTTGTTTAGAAGATTATTCGATGAATTCGAGCTTGATCATCAGGAGCAGAGTGAAGGAGCAAGTTGTATTCAGTATTTTGATTATATGAGGAACCGCAGTCATGGGCAAGATGTAAGTCCCGATTATTGTTTATTCAAGGCCGCAATCAGTAAGTCGGTCAAGTGGACGTAAGACGGTCAAGTATTATTCAAGTCTGAGTCAATTATTTAGTCGCTCAAGAGAAGTTTGAAGATAAAATGTTAGTATTCGCTCCATTGATGAATTCATATGGCATTATTCAGTTTGATTGAGAGATTATTCAGTTATTCAGATTATTAGAGAGAATTTAGAAGTAAGTCAAAATGCCATCTTTAGTTTCGCCCAAGTAGTAGAAAATAGGGCAGTATTATTCAGGGAATTAGTGAAAATCCCTACCCAGTATTGGGTTGATTCAGATTATTCGATGTGCCTCTGCTTTGGTTTGATGTTTAGAAGATAGATGTTGATGAGAGGTTTTTTGGGACGTTTTGTGATAATTGTGATTTTTTGTTTGTTGTAAATTTTTTGTTTTGTTTTACCCCATTGTTTGTAATTTTTGTCCCATTGTATTCAAGGCGGTGTTATTCAGTCATTCAATTCGAGAAGTTATTTTATTCGGACCCAACCTAACAATTCAATTCAGTAGCAAATTATTCAAGTTAGTCCCTAACTTTTTAAAGGAGGGAGATGTTAGGTATGTGTGGGTCTACTATAAAAGGAGTCGTTAGCGATCAGTCTCGGTCGACACCTGGGTCGACCGGCGCCGTCTGTCCTTATTCATTCTTGCCTTTTGCCACCTTCACTATTGTTGTATTTACCATTCGGATAAACGTTATATTCTATGCCTGTGTTATTCTGTTTGTCACTAGGTAAGACCGCTACTCTAGGACATAACATCAGTTTTTGTTTTACTATTTATCCAAGTTGTATTTTGTATTTATAAATTATTTTAATAATTTTATTTATTTTTTGGTAAAATTCCGTCATATCACCCGGAAACCGATTCGGACAAATGATATGTTATTCGAAAGATCTCGTCGAGCTGAGTCGAACGACACCAAAATTAGCTTCGGGACTCACCTATGGGCCGAGATATAGGTCCCCGAAAATCGAAAAACCATAGGGGGGAGTAAGCTCAATTTTGGGGTGAAAAATTCGAATATGCAAATAATACCTCATTCGGAAGAGCTCGTCGAACTAAGTCGAATGACACCAAAATCATCGCGATCTAACAAGATTGGACAAAGTTATGATCGAATTTTTTAGCTCCTTACCTATGCCATCCGTGGAGTTTTTACTGTTGCGGAGGAAGCCGGGCATGCCCATCACGGCGATAATTGGAATAGGATTAGGTTACGAACCCAGACCCGGAGCCCGTAGACTCCCCGCGAGGCGCGTGCCGCAAAACTCCGCGCGAAGCGCGGAGTTTTGCACAAGCGCCTCGCCGACGCCCCATAGGTTTACGTTGACCATTTTGAGCCTCTTTATCTCGGCTCAGAATCAAGATCTCGAGCTGATTTTGGTGTCATTCGACTCAGCTCAAGGAGCTCTTTCGAATGAGCTATCATTCAAAAAATCGAATTTTTCATCCCAAATTTGAGCTTACTCCCCCCTATGGGTTTTCGATTTTCGGGGGCCTATATCTCGTCCCATAGGTGAGTCCCGAAGCTAATTTTGGTTTCTTTCGACTCAGCTCGGCGAGTTCTTTCAAATGACATATCATTTGTCCGAATCGGTTTCCGGGTGATATGACGGAATTTTTCCTATTTTTTTACGGGATGAATTTTTTAATTGATTGGGTTATTATGGAATTTAATATTTCGGTCATTTCTGAAGAATTTTTGTTATTAAAAAGATTGTACCAGTCATATTGAGCTAAATATCAATTATTTTATATTTTCCTTTCTAAAAGATAAAACGGTGGTAAAATTGAACTTCGTACCTCCCCTCTTCTTTCCTTCCACAGGTGGAAAAATGGTTAGACTTAAAGATATGTTACAAATCTTTATTTATGGCCATAGGTACCAGCTCTGCCTTTTTTGAATCAATGATCCGGTACTTTATTTGAGAAAATAGGCAAAAATTACCGACAAAAATATTTTTAAAATATTTTTAAAATATTTTTTATTGGATAACCATTGAAAAAATAATTACTTATTAAATTTTTGCTATTTTTTGGGATGGGTTCAGCTGATTTACTGGATATAGTGTAGTGTACCGGTGGTAAAAGTTCGGGACGTGACATATGTCGTCTCGACGAGCTGAGTCGAATGGTACCACTCCCTACTTTAGGAAATGATTCTGGACCGAGTTATAGGTCCCGAAAAATTGAAAAACCATAGGGGGAGTAAGCTCGATTTAGGACCCGCGCTTCGCGCGGGGTTTTGCGGCACGCGCCTCGCGGGGAATCTACGGGCGATGGGTCTGGGCTTGTAACATAAACCTATTCCGGCTGTAGTGTAGTTCACCGGAGGTAAAAGTTCGGGACGAGACATATGTCATTCGATTCGTCTCGGCGAGCTGAGTCGAACGGTACCACTCTCAATTTCAGGAAATGATTCTGGACCGAGTTATAGGTCCCGAAAAATCGAAAAACCAAAGGGGGGACCAAGCACTTTTTTGGGGTGAAAAATTCGAATATGCAAATTATACCTCATTTGAAAGAGCTCTTCAAGCTGAGTCGAATGACACCAAAATCAACGAAATCCGACTTGATTGGACAAAGTTATGATCTTTTATTTTAGCTCCTTACCTATGGCATCTGTGAAGTTTTTTGCTGCTACGGAGGCCACAAATACGTCCAGAGCAAGGGAGATAGGAATAGGCTTATGTTACGAGCCCAGACCCAGCGCCCGTAGACTCCCCGCGAGGCGCGTGCCGCAAAACCCCGCGCGAAGCGCGGGGTTTTGCACAAGCGCCTCGCCGACGCTCCATAGGTTTAGGTTTTTGTTTTTTGTATCATAACTTTGTCTAATCTTGTTCAATCACGGTGATTTTGGTGTCATTTGACTCAGCTCGTCGAGCTCTTTCGAATGAGGTATTATTTGTATAAAAAATTTTTATTCCAAAAATCGCCCCTTTGGATCTTCGATTTTTAGGGGTCTGTATCTCAGTCCAATCAAGTCGGATTTCGTTGATTTTGGTGTCATTCGACTCAGCTTGAAGAGCTCTTTCAAATGAGTTATAATTTGCATATTCGAATTTTTCACCCCAAAAAAGTGCTTGGTCCCCCCTTTGATTTTTCGATTTTTCGGGACCTATAACTCGGTCCAGAATCATTTCCTGAAACTGGGAGTGGTACCGTTCGACTCAGCTCGCCGAGACGAATCGAATGACATATGTCTCGTCCCGAACTCTTACCACCGGTACACTACACCACAGCCGATTTACTTTCAGGTAAAGCAGCCTTCCAAATTTTTCAGAATTTTCGCTTTGGCGCTAAAAGTCAAAATTTGCTCATTAAAATTTTCACCCTTGACACCCCACGAAAAAAATCCTGGCTACGTGTCTGCTTTATAAAAAATTTAAAAAGACAACCTCGAAAAAGGTTCCTACATTCCTCCCTCAAATCTTGTCTCGATATCTCTAAAATTTCGATAATCCAGATTTCTCTCCTATCCTTCCCTTTTATATCAAAAACTCTTTCAATTATTTAGAAGTTTTTAATTTTTAAGCAACTCTCAATCCTCCCTCAAATTTATCAAATTCTTCAAATTTAAATAAATTTAATTTATTTTATGGGGCAGAAATTGATTGTATTTCTTCAAATGGTCAACATTTGGAAGTTTTTTTTATTTTAGATTATTTTAGTTTAATTTTAAGATTAAAACTCAATACAAAAATATTGGGTTTGGAAAAGGATTTCCGAATAAAGGTTAACAATTTTTGAAAGTTTTTTCTTAAATATTAAATATCTTTTCTTAAATTGATTTTTTGAGGAAGTTTTATTGAGATTTTAAGAGGGATCGGAAATTAAAAGAAATCGTGACCTAAATTGATTTTGGCCCAACCAGATCAATAAGCCAAGTAAAGTAAACACTAAGAAACACTGAAAAATGTTCTATTCTTGCCTCTGTATCCATAAAAATTAAGATGTGAGGACCTCGGCTTATCTCCCGATTTTAAGTATAAACAGTCTGATATCGATATCTGCACCCTATTATAATGAGGTATCTTAAATAAAAATCGGTTAGGCAGCTTCCTCAGAGCAAGTGGCCAACCTTATTTTTAAAAAGCGTCTCTAAAATAGAGGTGTATTCAATATTAAGGTGAATCTTATAAAGAGATCCGCCTCCATAAAATTTTAAAAGGAAAACCTTTTCAAACCCAACAGCAAGCATTAAATCAATATTTCCACTTTCTATAATTTGTTTACAAAGAAATATTCCACTGGAACTACTTGCACAGGCATTATTTAACTTGAATAAAAAATATTTCTAAAAAATTTTTTAAACAAAAAAAACATTAAATATAGGTATTCCTGTCAATCCGATTTCATATAATGCTCTTTGACCGCAACAAGATCCTCCATACATGTAGGAAGCGGTTGCTTTAAAAATTAATTTTTTATTGTTAAAAATAGCTTCAAAGCCCAAACCTTGTTGAATTTGTTCATATCTTACACCAGCATCACTCAAAGCTTCGCCAACTAAAAAATTATTTTTAGAATTAAGAAAAAAATTTAAAAAAAAAACAAATTATGTATAAGATACCCCTATTTAAGAGAAACCTAACCATAAAATACCCTCTATCTAAGAGAAACCTCATTACGAGCTACACCCAATTTAAAAAATACCTCCTTATAAAATTGTTTCTTCTACCCCGAGGGCGATTTATAAGGAGGCTTGGTTAAAACAAAGTTAAAAAAAGTTACCTGCTTCTTTAACCAATTCTGGATAATCCTTGCCAGATGTAAGCGGCTTTGTGAACTGAAAATGATTCAATTTAGAAATAAAAGATTCTTAAAAATAAAATACCGCTGTCATTCCAACACCAATAATATAAACTTTTGGCCTTCTAAATAAAGAGACATCCTGAATTTTTGAAAGATATTATTTTGGTTTATTTCTAAATTATACCTGAGTTTGAGGAGGAGTTGGAGAATCCACTATCATTAGTTTTATTCAAAATTAATTTCAAAAAAATTTTCTTTAGAAATCTAAAATATTTAAAGACACGAAGAAAAAAGTTTTGATTGATCAATTTAATAAAAGGAAACTAATTTCTATAAATGTACATATTTAATATATAATCAAAAATATATATGAAATGAATGACCGAAAACTGCAAATAAAATCAATATACTTCGAGAATAAAAATTAAATGAGAAATGGTGTTTCTTATAAAATGGGTGTTTCTTATTCTTATCACTTTCTTAAGAGAAATTAGATAATGTTATGGGGGTGAAGTTAAAGAATCAAAAATAGAAAAAAAAATTTAAAAAACAAAAATTTTCTCCATTAAAAACCCCAAAAAATTTAAACGAAAAAAATTCCGCAAGTTTCATTGTGGTAAAAAGTTAAATTGTTAAAATTGATAAAAATAATTTTGTCAAGATTTAAGTAAACACATTGGCATCTACAATCTGTTCTTACAGAAAAAAAATACGAGACCCCCAAAGAATAGCCCATGAAATGTGCCAGATTCCCGCGCACTTTATAGAACAATTGCACGCCCTAAGTGCGTTTAAGTGGCCGCGATTAAATAGGCTACTTCTAAGAGCTCGCGTCTAATCGTCCTTCGAGTCATATAATCGCGGAACTTTAAAGAAGTAAATTTTAACCTCTTGTAAATTTTGCCCTAGTTTTTTTGCGCCGCTAATTCTCATAAATTTGTCCTTGGCAAGTAAATCGATAAAAGATATATTTGTTTTTTCTCGCTTATTTTTTGAAATTTTATTTTTTATATTTTATTCTAGCAGAAAATCTATTTTAAAGATATGGATCCTTTTGAACTTTTGGAACCTGTTGACATTATTCCAAAACTTCCTGCTGATTTAGACACAAATTTGGCAAGTAAAAAGTGGCAGGAACGTAAAACTACATTAGATGCTGTTCACGAAATTTTGTTGAAAAATCCAAAATTGGTTGATAACCCAGATTGTGGAGATTTGATTGATAAGCTTACAAAGGTTTTTAAACTATTTTTGGCTTATAATATTTTTGAAGGTTCTCAAATCTGACGCAAATATTAATTGTGCTGCTGTTGCTGCTAAATGTCTTACAGGAATGGCTAAAGGATTGCGCAACAAATTTGGACCTCATACAGCTTCATTATCTCCAATTATATTTGACAAATTCAAAGAGAAGAAGCCTCATCTTCGTGATCCTTTGATTGAATTAATTGACGCTGTTTTTGCTACCACGGTTATTATTTAGATTTTTGTTACCTTATCTTTTTCTTTTATTTAGAATTTAAACAATCTCACAGCCAGTATTTTGGAAGCAGCTAAAAAGCCCAATCCAAGCCAGAAATCTCAACTTGATCATTTCATCTACAGAACATTTCGGTCGCTTAACAGCAAGGATATTCCTAAAGGACTTTTAAAGGATTTGGTTGCGTCATTGACTAATGTAAGTTTATACTGTTAAAAGTTCGTTGGATAGGACATAACCCTCCTGAAAAAGAGCCCAAAAATTTTCATTCACAATTTTTTCTCCAGCATGCCTCTGACTCCGATCCTGAGGTTCGTGATGCCTCGTGTGCTGCTTTGGGTGCTATACAAAAATGTATCGGTGAAAGTGCACTTGCAGTTTTCCTAGGTGCTGAAATTGTTAAAGATTCCACAAAGATGTCAAAGGTTTGTTTAAATAAAATTTATATTTTTCAACAACATTCTAGATTGCTGAATATCGTGAAAAGGCTGTCGTTGAAGCTGAAAGTCAAAAGGTTTTTATACTTTCTCCTTTTCCTTTCAATTGTTCATTTTTAGCAAGCCTCCGAGAATAATTGTGCTTCTGCAGCATCCTCTCAACAATGTCAACAGCAAATATCTACAAACACAAATCATCAACAACAAAGTGTCCCCGAACCACAACCACAGCAAATTGATCCTTTTGAACTTTTGGACCCTGTTGACATTATTCCAAAACTTCCGGGTGATTTAGACACTCAATTGGCTAGTAAGAAGTGGCAAGAAAGAAAAGCTGTATTGGATTTAGTTCATGGCATTTTGTTAGAAAATCCAAAGTTGGCGGACAACCCGGATTATGGGGATTTGATTGATAAGCTTACAAAGGTTTTCGATTTTTTTTATTTATATTTTTTTCATGATTCTCCCCCTTTTTCCAAGATTTGCTCTTTTTCCGAAGATAATATTTTTATTCTTTAGGTTCTCAAATCTGACGCAAATATTAATTGTGCTGCTGTTGCTGCTAAATGTCTTACTGGAATGGCTAAAGGATTACGCAACAAATTTGGACCTCATACAGCTTCATTATCTCCAATTATATTTGACAAATTCAAAGAGAAGAAGCCTCATCTTCGTGATCCTTTGATTGAATTAATTGACGCTGTTTATGCTACCACGGTTATTATAATATTTAGATTTTATGGGAGGAGGTCAAACTTACCGTGCCCACTTTACTATAGATTGTTAAAAATGACTGGTTTTCAGACTTAGGAGCAAGTTCAGAATCCGGTCCACTTGTCCTTTTCTCTGTCTTATTTTTATGCCAGATGGACGTTAAGTTGGGCCACGAGATTTGTTCATGAGGAATAGAATTTTAAAAAATTCCAAGGTTTTTATCGGCTTATTTTTTATTTAGACTTTAAACAACCTCTCAGCTAGTATTTTGGAAGCAGCTAAAAAGCCCAATCCAAGCCAGAAATCTCAACTTGATCATTTCATCTACAGAACATTTCGGTCGCTTAACAGCAAGGATATTCCTAAAGGGCTTTTAAAGGATTTGGTTGCGTCATTGACTAATGTAAGTATTCTCCTTAAAAAATTTTCAGCATTAATTTCAATCTCTAGCACGCCTCTGACTCCGATCCAGAAGTTCGTGATGCTTCTTGTGCTGCATTGGGTGCTATACAAAAATGTATCGGTGAAAGTGCACTTGCAGTTTTCCTAGGTGCTGAAATTGTTAAGGATTCCACAAAAATGTCAAAGGTTTATTTAAATATGATTTTTATTTTCAATAGTTTTTTAGATTGCTGAATATCGTGAAAAGGCCATTTCTGAATGTCCTAGTGCCAAAATTGAGGTTTTATTTTTCTTGACTTTTAATAATTTGTGTAATTTTGTTTTGTGTAGTCTGTAAAGTCTGTCGTTGCAGCACCACCACCTCCTAATGTCAAAAAGGCTGTTGAAAACAAAGCTAAAGTGCAGAACAATACTACTAAACCGACAATTGCTGCTTCTAACAATAAACCCGAATCTGTTCCTGATTCTGTTGAGAATGTAAATATATTTTTTTCCTTTTTTTGGTTTATATTTTTGTGTTTTTTGTATATTACTAAATTTTCTATGAGGATTGTTTACGTTCGGGTAATTTTTGCCTATGAGGCTCAAAAGTCAATGAAATTCCTTTGAGTCGCTACAGGCAAAGATTATCCAGTCGTGGATAGTTTTAGGTTCTATCTGATTTTTTTATATTTTACAGTCTGAAGATGATGCCTCTACTCAAGTTCAACAAACCAACCAGAAGAAAGCTGTTAAAAATTCTAAACAACAACAGAAACCTGAACAGCCCAAAGTTGAGCCAAAAGTTGAAGATTCGGAACCTGAATTTTTGTTATTATTTAAAAGTGATAGGGCTTTGCGACTTAAAGAGGAAAAGGCTCTTAAGGTTGTTTTAATATTTTATTTGTTTTTAAATTTTGAAAATTTTTCTATAGACTTTAAAATGGAACTTTGACACACCTACGGCAGAACATTTAGAACAATTAACTAATTCCTTGACTTCTGTGACAAAACCTCCGTTGACTGGACAGTTGTTTAATAAGGATTTTAAACAACAAATTAAAGCTATTGAATATCTTAATGAGGTTTGTGTGAAATTATTTGTTTTTTCAAGCGAGCCTCTTTATAAGATACCCTCAATGCTAGATACACCTCACATCAGTTTAGGATTTTTGTGGGTTGGATTTATTGTGTTGCAGAATTCGTTATTACGTTTTTTAAGCGATATAAGGGGTTTGGAAGGATAACAGGTGTTTAAGGGATATCGGGGAATTAAGTAGAATTTGTAGGAATATCGGAAGTTTAAGCAGACGGTTGTGGAATTTATCGATGAAAAAAATTCCCCAGAGTGTATCTTATAACAATGTCGACTCTTTTAGGGCCTGTAAACATTTTCAACTTTATTTTTGTCCTTTTGTGTGTATCACGACTTTTGCGCCGAGAACATTTGCGCCGAGAACATTTGCGCCGCGACTTATGCGCCGGGCGACTTTTGCGCCGCGACATTTGCGCCGCGACTTTTGCGCCGCGACTTATGCGCCGAGCGACTTGTGCGCCGCGACTTTTGCGCCGGGCGACTTATGCGCCGCGACAATTGCGCCGCCATAATTAAAAAAAATACCTACAGTCGGACCTAATTATAGTGTACTCATTAAAAAATGGTATCCAGGAGCTGAAGGAATTTTAGGAAGTACAATATTTCGGGAAGTACAATAGCCTTCTATAATAAACCGACCCCCTAGAGGGGTCATCTTCAAAGAACTTGACTTTTTCGGATCAGGATATTTGGTCTGCTACCCCTATTCAGGCATGATTTTTTGCCAGAAGAGGGTGCACTATAGTGTAGGGTTGTCGGATCCAGATATCCGGATTTGAAAAAGTCCGAATAGCCGAAAATTTTCTTCATATCCGAAGATCCACAACTATCCTACATCTTCTATAGTGAGGTCCGGCTGTAGTTTTTCATAATTATTAATGATAGTAGCGGCGCAAAAGTCGTCCGGCGCAAAAGTCGCGGTGCAAAAGTCGCCCGGCGCAAAAGTCCCCCGGCGCAAAAGTCACTCGGCGCAAAAGTCCCCCGGCGCAAAAGTCACGGAACCCTTTTATGTAGGTTCATGCAGCTTCACCAGAATGTATTATAAACAATATTGATCTCCTTCTCAAATGGTCAACTTTGCGTTTCTTTGATACAAACCCTTCAGTTTTAATCAAGGTATTAGAATTTATACTTGCTGTATTTACACAAATGGAAGCAATGAATGAAGGTTTGAATGATTTGGAAATGCAATCTTTTTTGCCTTATTTACTTTTGAAGGTTTTCTTTTTAATTTTTATTTTTGTAAATTAAAAAAAATTTTTAGTGTGGTGATTCAAAAGATTTAATTAGAAATCAAGTTCGTAAAATTGTACATGTACTCAATTCAATTTCTGTCCCGTCAAAAATTTTTCCACTTATTCTTGATAGTTTAAAAACTAAAAATTCGAGACAAAAAGCTGAGGGATTGGTAATTGCTGATTCATTAATAGAGGTTTGTTTTGGTTCTTACTTCAATAAGTTTGTTCACTTTCATTTATTGACTGGTAACGGCATCCTCAGGGGATTTATCTTTAAAGCCCAAATCAGTCAGGGACATCCTTAGGCGATTTTGGGTCCAATTTTCGACCTACTAGTTTACAATTCCGGTTAAATGTCTAGGAACTTCGGCTTTTCTGTTCCGGCTTGTGTTGCGTTTAGAGTGAATAACCCCGCTTCTTACTACTACTTATATATTTTTGAATTAATTTTTTTAAAGATCATGGGTCTTTCAATAACAACAACACCACAAATAACTATGCGTACTTTTGGTGCTTGTATTTCTGAAAGAGATGCTGCTGTACGTAACGCGGCACTGAATGCTATAATTACTGTTTATCGAGGAATGGGTTGTGATCGAGACAAAATTTTCTCTTTAATTGGACAGCTTGGGGAAAAAGAACGCGCAATGCTTGATGAACGAATTAAGCGGACAGGAGCATTTGATCCAAAATCTGCAAATCGTCCACAAACAACTCGAGATATGTCTACTAGCCGTCTCAACTCTAGAATGCAAAATTCGAGTTCACAACCAAATTCAACAATTAGAGCGCGTTCTGCGAGCGGGTTTTTTTTCTATTTTTTAATTTATTAAAATGTCCTTTTTTAAAGACCTCGACGCCCTTTGGACTTGGCTTTACCCGGAAATAACTCAATGATGTTAGCTGGAGCAGATGATAATAACAACACTAATGTTCGTGCTCCTCGTCGTTCACATAACGTTACAGCTACGGGTCTTTCTTCTGCTCATTCACATGCTGCTTTAAGTTCGGCATTGAATCAGGTTTAAACTTTCTTTTTTATTTAATTTGAATTTTTTTTAATTTTTTAAAGACTGGTGGTCGTTTTCAATTGGATCCTAAATTCTTTCAAAATGATTTTGACGACGCTGGAAGGACTCTAGTGGTTAATTCTGGAGGAGCAAATCAATCCACCAGTTTAAACTCGACATTTACTAAAAATGATGTGGGGCAACCAGAACGAGGTGTTTTGGCAAATCGAAATGTTCAGCCAAGTGGAAGTAGTATTGATCAACAAGATTTACAACCAATTGTATATATTTTTTTAATTTTTGAAATTTTTAATTTAAATTTTTAGAAGCCTGTAATTCGCCCTGTAAGCACATTCTCCCGACGTAGTGAATCTGTATCTTCTATTTCTTCGCTAGAAAGTACTGAATATATTGATCGAGCTGTTCATAATGTCTCTTGTTTACAATTAAGCATTGCTGATGAAGCTATTGCGCAGGTTTAATTTTTTCTTTTTTCACATTAAGGTTCGATAAAAATTCCAATAGCTCGAAAATACCTTATATTTGTTTATTTTACAAATATAGCTATTTAAAAAGCAAAAACAAGAAAGTTTACAACAAGCGGACTCGAACCACAGACCTCTGGTTTATCCATACCCGCCAGATTTTTTCTAAATTACACTTAACCAAACGATGTAAAAAGGGAACAAATTTTATTTTAAGGGGCTCCACAATTCAATTCCTTATTTTAAATCTTTTTTTAAATTCATAAATAAAAAATTTTTTAGTTGTTGCATTTATTGAATGATCCAAATAATCGCCAGTATATAATTGATAGATCAGAGCTTATTTTAAAAATGGTTTAAAACTTTAAAAATTTTTTATGAATCTTGTACTTTTTTAGATTGTCACACAAGTTTTTCATATTCGAAGTCAACATCTTGAACAACTAGAATCTGGTAAAGAATCAAACCGAGACGAACAAAATTTTTCTAAAGAGAATGATCTAAATGAATTTTTGCGTTCGATTTGTAATTTTCTTTCTACGGTTTTTTTCTTCTTAAATTTTTTTATTAAAAAATATTTTTTAAGTTAACAAATGAAACTCATATAATGAAAAGAATTAGTGCTGATACTTTACGTGGATTTATAGAAGCAATTTTGTCGTTAGTATGTGATCAACGACTTTCTGGATTTAAAGATCAGGTTTATATTTTGAATAATATTTTGTAAAGATATTTAAGAGTGGATGTTTTCTAGACTCGTGTCCACGATTTGGTTCAAGACCAAAGACTTGAAAACCAAACATTAATAAGATTCGAGACACTTGTTTGGTTCAATAGGACAAATTTTTGAAAAGTTCATTAAGTTTTCAAAAGCACAAAAAAGCTTGAGTCAAGACTAATAGTCTTGGATTGCTCTAATTTAATTACTTTTTTTGTTCAAAAACTTAAATTTTTTCAGGTTTTTCGTTCATTAAATGTTGTTGTTATTCGTCTTTGTGAATTTACTCATCCAAGTGTTTGTTTTTTGGCTTTGATGAAGTTAATTATGAAATACCAAGCAGCTGAACCTAAAGGAAAGATTTTGGAATTACTTCGTAAATGTATGATTAAACGAACTGAAACTCTTACAGATCCAGCAATTGTTGATATGGTTTGTGAATTTTCTAATAAAAATTTTTTCCCGATAAGTGCGTTCATTTGGTACACCCACACTGACTTTGTCACCTTTTCTAATTTTATTGCCGAGTTAATTTTACACGCCAGAGAAGACTTGTTCATCGAGATGTCCTTGAACCTTTTTAATTAAAAGACGCAATGCCAAGACCAGTGGTCGATTTCACCGGGCTATAATTGGGGGTGTAAAGGGAAGTTATAAGTTGGGAAAAATCTGGATAGGATCCGAAATTTTCTTCCAAAATTTCTTCCAAATTTCTTTGACGTTTCGAAAACTTTGGCGTTCCGACCAAGGGCGTATCCAGGGGGGGGGGGCTAGAGCCCCCCCCCCCCCCCCCGAAATGGGGGAAAGGGGGAAAAATTAGGAGAAGGATGGTCGAAAATTTTCGCCTGCGGCGCTAAAAAAAGAAGAAATCTGGCTTCTTGGGCTCCAAATTCCAAAAAATTTTCGCCTGCGGCGCTGAATAAGTGAATTTTTTTGCCTACGGTCTTCCAAAATTCAAAAAATTTTCGCCTGCGGCGCTGGATAAGTGAATTTTTATGTACAAAAAAAGTTGCGTCCAGAGCGCCAAGGTAAACGCCAAAAATTTTTGCGCCCACCCAGTGTTAGCCCCCCCCCCCCCCCCCCGAAACCGACCCCCTGGATACGCCCTTGGTTCCGACTAGTGTTATTCAAACGCGTTTTTTCGGTATCGGTATTTTCAGTAAAATACCGATACCGAAAAAATACCGATTTTTTTAAAATTGTTCGGTACCGTATTCGGTATCGGTATTTCGGTAAAAATACTGCGGTATTACCGAAAAATACCGCCGTAATACGGTACCGTGAATAATACTAGTTCCGACCCCAAATTTTATTCTTTACCTTTTTATTTTTTCAGATTGATATTCCCACATTATTGGAACATATAAATACTTACATTACACGATTTTATATTACAACAAATGAGGGACATGATTCAGATGCTTCTGTTAAAGAGACTTCAAAATTACTTTTTATTTGTGTTCAACGAATTGTTGTAAAAAAGAAATATTCGGTTTATTTTTAATTTTTTTTAACAATTTTTTTAAAAAGATACTTAATTACCTCGACCATCTACCAGAAAATTCACATATTGTTCTTTATGTAAAACGATGTGTCCGTCAGGGATGTGCCGAAACAGATTTTAAAAGGCGAAAGACGAAAGGCGAAAAGGCGAAAGTCATTTTAAAAAGCGAAACACGAAAGACGAAAAGGCGAAAGTC